TAAAGATAATTCTGTGGAGTTGCATCCAGGAGCAATATACATGTTCGAGATGTAAATGTAGTTGTATTTTGACAAATGTTTAGGTCGACACTTAACGGTGAGACAGTCAATATTGTCACTAGAGAATTTGAAACATACATTATTAGACGTACACCATTGTGAATTGATGAAGATGGCGACACCGCCACCGCGTTTCTTCCTGGAACTACACCGATCTTGTCTGAATAGTTTGAAATTATTTAGATACACTAGATTGTCATCATATAGATCATGAAGCCATGTTTCTTGAAGTGATATGATCCCAGTATTATGATATATAATGGAAGACACCAGCGATTGAAGACAGTTAATTTTAGCCGGCAGGGAGCGACAATTGGTACTCATAATTGCGGGAACAGTCATGAATTGAATAGGGGTATTTTTTAATGCTCTCTGCCAGCCGGCATGATGCTTTTTCTTGTCTTTTTTATGGAGTTGCAGATCAGTAGGTTTTAAAGATATTAGATATTCACGAGAATAAATAATCCGATTTGAGGTCATATTTGAATAAGATTTATTGATTAAGAATCAATTAGAAATGAGAAATTAGATGCAATATGATTTGTAATGTTTAAGGTAATTGGTAGCCCAAGATTTAAGCAGGCTGCCAAGGCAGTGTTGTTGAGTGAATTAAAGGCTAATTTTTAAGCGGTAATATCCGGTGACGGAATTGAATCGTAGGTGTGAATGTATAAATCAATAATAATAGTAGTTTGAAATGAAATGAAATTCTACCTAATCATTTTTTCTGTCTCTTCATTAGTATTATTTTGTCTTCTCAATTGTAATATTTTACATTTTCCACCTTCCTGTTCTCTATTCCCACCCGATTTAATTCCTACGCCTAACCACTACCACTGTTACTGACTTGACCAATGCTCAATTTCTAAACATTTATGTTGCGTCATCCAATTTAGTTTTGCTCAATTTTAGTTCTAATTTAAATGGCATTATTCTCTACCCCACTTCTACTTAGCCTCTCTCCATCTGTAATTACCTCTGTTTCTATCCTTACCTAAGTTGAAACATTTCAGTCAATTATATTACGTCATCTAATTAACTAACTCAATCTTACTTTATTTGCTGTCTAACTAATTAATCTTGTTTCTATATTAGATCATTCTTGTATTACCTGATTAATCATCTAAACTTGACAAACCTCATGTACACACACACACACAAATAATTGTATATATAAATGCGATTATACAGATTTGTGAAGGAATTCGCCGGCGAAAAGAGTCTCCTTTCCTTTTCATATAACTCAATGGGGCATTTCAAACTTCAAAGCTGTTTGTGATTATAATCATAGTTTAATGTCAAGTGGCAAAACAATCAATGTCATATACAGAATATTAAAACAATTAGTCCCTTTGATAAATTTGAATAAGGCATTTAGAAGACAAATTTCCCGAGATGATATCGTCATTTCGTAGTTTCTTTACAACCGCTTTACAACTAACATGGTTAACAATGATAAAATAAAGTTCATGAAAATTACTCAGTTAAATAAAAACAAAAGTACATACTAATGACCAATCATATTTAGATAGGTCATGTATACTCGTCATGGTAGGCAAAGATTGAAGTCTATTATGCTGTCTTTGTACACACAGTTTAGGCTGTATGTGATTAATCCTCTATAGTGCTTCCATCACCTTCAATAACCTTGAATTAGAGTTATGTGAAATAACTATGAAGCAGTCATTAGTATTGATTTTGTGACCAGACATTAATAAGTGTTTTGCAATGGATGATGCTGGATTTCTACTAAGATAAATCGCGTTAGGATTTTCGATATGATTTACTAGCCATTTTGGAACATGTTCTTTTCGACGACATTGGAACATTCTGTTAGTTCTACCTATATAGGTGTCACCGCAACAACTCCAGTGAACTTGTAGATACAGTTTGAAGTAGAGTCCACAGAATTTCGTCCTTTAATAGTTAGTAGATACAAGGATCGAAAATGTTCGGCAAGTGAGAAATTTGTCTTCTTAATGCCTTATTCAAATATATAGAATAATTCGTAAGATGTATTTAACTTGGAAGGAGTGTGCAATTATAGGATTAGTAGGCAAATCAAATCAAATAAAAGCTTTTGGTAATAATGTGTGAAATTTGGTAGCATAGAATTTAACGTTGTAAAAAAGAATTGATTTAGAATGACAAGTGTGACGAGTGAAACATGACTGCAGCAGTTCAAGATGAAAATAATAATATGGTAACAATTGATGTAATAAAGGAAGAGTATATAAATTGAATAGACAAAATGAAAAGTTGGATCACCATACTTTAGCATAGATGGATTAAGACCATGACATTTGGAGAAATTACACGACCTTTTTCTGTACACAGGGCTCTGGCTTTTCTGTTTCGATAGCCAGCAATACAGATGAGTCGGGTAGGAACTGATTTGGGTATATTACTTTTTGCCTTTTAGACGATTTTAAAGGCAGAGGCTATAGAGATAGGGTGATCATTATCGACCATATGTTCAATGATCAGGTTTCTTATTGCTCCACTTTCACCTCTTCGTAACCACACAGGAAAGTGTTCTTGCACCCTCTTGGACAAAACTCGAGTCTAATGACCGATAGACTTATTGCCACGCGGACTGGCGAATTGATACGTACACAGAGACTTGGTCAACTGCGGCATCTTATCCTTCAGGTTATTGAAGAGTAATGGTCGACTAGTAAAGGCTATTCTCAAAGATGCAGCAACGAATGTTCTTCTCAGGGACTGTCATATCATATTATTATTATTATTTTATGCATTCTTAATTTTTTTTTCTTTCACGTTCCCCAGTGGAACATAGGGCTTCAAGCTAGTGGCTTGAAGTTTCTGTAGCAGTGTTTATTATTACAGGATGGAGTTGCTAGCCTCATGCCCAACCTTTCCTCTTTACCAGAATTATTTCTGGCTCAGTGAGGTAAAGGAGTGCTTCTGTGGGCGGAGATCGAACCCCGGACCATGTGCATGGTCAACGAGCGTCCTAACCAGTATACCACCGAAGCACACCTATGATTCAATTCCCTTACCGGATATAACTTCATAAAAACCATATGTGTATATACGATTGTACAGCTTGATAATAAATTCACTGTTGAAAAGAGTCTCTTCGCTGAATCACTTGTTTTGATTTTCTAAATTAGATGCAACAACATTTTACCAAATACTGACAACTTCACTATGTATAAGACGTACTCTTTTGGAATAAAGCTCTTTATTAATATTATTGCTCACGTCAAATGGTGTATGTTAGATCTTTAAATATTCCCATTATTAATATTACAACAAGACATTTAACCCTCACTGACAGAACAAGACGGATCTGTACAGATGACGTCACACCCAAAATATGCTGGTCCAAGTGAGTTATCCTAGAAGATTTGTAAGGAGACACATGAATACACTGTGAGGACGCTCGCCGACCATGCGAATGGTCCCTAGCCGAAGTACATTTGATATCAATGGTAGGCTTGCTAAATTTGGTCTACCTATATCACATGCTGAAAATTCTATACTTGTATAAAAAATACTGTGTGGAGTCAAGATACAATAAAAGTTAAAAATGAATAAGCATAAAGAGAAACTGTCATTCTCCAGCTGACCGATATTGACTGCTCAAGCGAAAAACAAGCTACCTAGCTGTGTCACCTATATGTGTATCTACAAATTTAGCCGCTCCCGATGAAGAAAGTTACATATGGCGAATAACTAGACGCCATCTTTCTTGACGATTCGAAAAATATCAAATAAAATCGATAAGAAGTTGTATTTTAACTCATTTTGATTGATAGTGTTCACCAAGTGGATAGAAGAAGTGCCTTCAAAATTATCTATCACATTTCATTGAAACTTCAAACAAACTCGAACCAGTCTTTTACACACATATTTGAAGTAATGGAAATTCGAGAGAACCATCCCAGTCTTTGCGTACAACAAAAGCAATTTCTTCTACATTTATCTCTCCCTACCTGCCTACATTAATTCTAATCAAAACCCTCCCACACGCTTCCTTATCTACAGTTTCCTTCGTACGTTTATGATATTTATTTAAACTCTGTTTATCTACCTGACCACTTCATCTTCAGTACTCGTAACTTTTGAGATCTGGCCTAATTTATTTATTTACTGAATTGTCTACATATACACACATATTACTACCCTTATTATTCTTATTTCCACCTACATAAACCTTATTATCAATATTTTGTTATCATTATAATCATCGTTATCAATGACGTTCAAAACATTTACCTCATTATTATTTGATCCACAAACTCACCGTCATTGGTTAAAAAATTCTTATGTTTAAATCTACGTAAATTAGAGTAAAACCTGAAGAAGATTTAAATGTTAATATCAGATGACGTCAAGAAATTGCTGCAACGGACCAACCGGGAGCCATCAAATCACTAAATATTATCGACGAAAATGGAAATGAATCGAACACAAGCTAGTGAGACGTCTGATTGCTGGCTAATGACAGGTTATAACCCGAATGGAAACCAATTAGAAAACGAGTTGGATGTTCAGAGGTGATTTTCAAGGATATCTTATGAAGGTATACGACAGCTTGTGTATAACCAATCAGCCAACTAAAGTGGACTGAAGACAGCAGAATATACTGGAGATGTCCTTTTGACGCCCTATATGCCGCAATGAATATAAGCGAGTAGTAATAATAATAGTAATGCTTGTATTGTTTTTGGATATTAAAGATAACGCCTTTGTGACTTCACTTAACGTCTTATTTTAATGCCGACATGATGGCTTTTAATATGAACTTTATAATGATAATAATGATTTGCTGTATTCCATAAGAGTACTTGTCAGCCACGTCTCGTAAACCGTTAATGCCCAGCTCTTGCTACGCTCGGGCTCACGCTGTTCCTTGAAGTTTCTCATAAACGCATAGTATTAACGGACGCAAAAACCAAAACACCGATTTTCCACTCGAGAATTCTTTATTGTAACACCAACATATAAAAAATGTTACCACTAAGGTCTGTGAACAAATATTACAATAATAAACCACAATATTACTTCTGACGGTTTTCTGCTGACGTCTTTCTGAACAGCGACCGATGAGACGATGACTATCGTATTGATGCCTCCGCGAAAGTTGGGGAAGTTGGTTTTGAGCAAACAACCATGAATTGATCGTTCAATCTTCAACTACATTGACAGTACTTCTTGTACACACTGGAATTTTAAGCATTTGGTACAATATTGTTGCATCTAACTTACTCGACAGATGCATTAACTAAAAGTAAAAATCATAACACTCACTTGTTAATAGCAGCATTTTTGGTATTATCAGTGACAATAAAGTCGAAAATGTATAAGAAGTGTAAAATAATGGTGATGATGATGATGATGCTAATTACGTTAACAGCTGAAGTTATAAGATAATTGTTATCATAGATAACAAATAGGAGAGGATCGATGAGCCGATCATTTTGGCAATTACTTAGTGGGTCGTAGGTTTTACTCTTAACGCTATCTGTGTCACATAAAACATGGGTTAATCAGAGTATCACTGAGTTAAGTGTACTTGGTTGTATGCGATAGAATATCATGTTTAATAGAGACTTCCAGCCTTACCTGTTGAGATTCAAGGGAGAGGAGAGTGGAGAATAGAGTAGGTGAGGTGTTGAGAGTCAGTCAATATGGATTAGGTTTTCTATATTGAATTGAATTTTTGATTTTCCCGTCGATTGATTGGACCGAAGTGCTCGGTCTCAGGTTGACATGTCGGCTTCTTGTGCAGATGCTTCGACGATGTCTGGGGATTTGATTTGTATACAATTGGTGGATGGTGGCTAGCAGTGGAATCCAGGATGCGCATTTCGTCCTATTTGGGACTCGTCAACTGGATGTACCTGCATTTCTCAATGGGTGATGATGTTCCCACCGAGGCTCGAACCCAGTGCCCATAGCTTCAAACGCCAAAGCGTTATCCACTAGACCACTTGGGCCACGAGACCCACCTCTTGTGCGACGGGTCATATTAATTATTGAATTGAATTTTTGATTTTCCTGTCGATTGATTGGACCGAAGACTGAACCTGAGACCGAGCACTTCGGTCCAATAAATCGACGGGAAAATCAAAAATTCAATTCAATAATGAATATGACCCGTTGCACAAGAGATGGCTCTCTTGGCCCAAGTGGTCTAGTGGATAACGCTTTGGCGTTTGAAGCTATGGGCACTGGGTTCGAGCCTCAGTGGGAACATCATCAGTCACTGAGAAATGCAGGTACATCCAGCTGACGAGTCCCAAATAGGACGAAATGCGCATCCTGGTGGATTCCACTGCTAGCCACCATCCACCAATTGTATAGGTTTTCTATAGTTAGTTTGTAAGGATTAATTTGTTTTTTACGAGTTGATCACGGATCGATATCAGCTAGAGAACCATTGAAAACTAGAATGAAACAGCTGACTGTACAGTACTCCCTGGTTTCCAATGGTTTTCTAGCTGATATCAATCCCATGATCAACTCCAAAAACCAAAACTAATCCTAATAAACCAGCTTTAGAGAAATCACATATGAAATTGAATGACATGATGGTACACTTAGAGAAGTAAGAATTCATGCAATGATAGATTGTGACCGATTTGCTTATTGTTAAGCTATTTTCTGAATATTACAGCGTCAATCTTCATAAAGGTTTAGGCTTTCGTGCACCTCTGACTGATAGTCATTTGTGACTGACGTGAGCCTTGGTATTTGTCAGCTACAGTAGTAAAGAGCTGACTTGATGGCACACCAGTCATCCTACTCACAACCTGTAGCACCTGTCACAAATGACCATCAGTCAGAGGCGCATAGAAGCCAAAACCTCGATAGAGATTGACGCTGTAATAATCAGATAACCGGTTGAACGTGTTAACAACAAACAAATTGGTCACAATCTATTGATTCACGAATTTCACTTATTTCTGTCAGTGTAGCACCAACGTCATTCAATTTTATATCTGAGTTTTCTATACTTTGTTTGTAAGGATTGGTTTTGTTTTTATGCGTTGATCACAGATTGATACCAGTTTAATGAACCATTGAATACCAACAGGGAGTTCTGGACAGCTGTTTTATCCTAGTGCTTAGGATTCATCGGGAGTACGCATGTACTGCTAGGGTTCGAACACAGAAGCATCCGTTTACAAGGCAAGTTAGTATACCATTTAGCCACTGAGACCCGATTCAACGGCCATTGGATTAATTCTAACTCCTACCAATTCGTGATTTACCATAACCACAACCATAGTCATTGCTGGGACATCCCTCCATACACATGACATCTCGATGCACCTCACTGGTCAAGTTTTCTCACTAAAACTTCAAGAAACTCCATCCTGTGAGCAACTCTCTTCTCATACAAGTTTATGGACTCTACCACTCATCAAAAATTGCATTACAACCAGAGAAATGCTTCCTTGTTAATAACCACTGTTGAACAGTGGACTAGTTTCCAATCGGATCTTAACAAACTGTAAACTTTAATATCAAGCTTGATTATAAAAAAGTGTCTGCCTTCCAAGTATACCAAATCCAACAAACGAATGATATGGGAATAAACGGAACAGTTGTGGATCCGTAACTTTTAAACTAATATTAACAATGTATATTTATATATATTACTGCGTGATGTTTCTAATTACTTTTGTGAAAATGATTACGTTGAGCTGTCTGTAACGTTCATTATTTTATTTAGCACGATTAGAATACACACACAGGTTAAAATCAACACTGAATCACTTTCGATTTTTTTTAATTGTCCTAAAAATAGTTTATCTCTATTTTGTCTCCCACTGTCATTAACAAGACAAAATTCATGAGCATTAAATCTGTTCCCCATATTCCCTCAACACAGCACGTATGTGTGTTTCACTAAAATAATGAATTTTGTTCACATCAGTAGACAAAAATGCAGAGTGAACAGTTTTAGGGTACCTATGGGTTAATAAATGAAAGTATTTAGAAGTGACTGGAAATCATGACATAAAAGCTCAATTAACAGTCGAACCGTTTCGTCCTTGGATTGGACTCTTCCTTTCGATGCACCCTCCACTGGGATTAGCACCTAGGACCTTCCGTTTACAAGACAAGCTCGTAGATCTTTCTGGCGAGAGCTAGTGATTGGCTACAGAATCAAGTTACCTAGAGTTCCAGTACGCAGTCGTGACAAGTGGGGTCCACATACAGTTAGGGATTGAGGACAAATACTCGCCACCGATGACATTGGTTATAGGCAGTCTCACTATAATCATGATTTCGTAGAAGTTAGAATTCATGAACTTGTCATTGGGTGCCAGTGGCTAAATGGTCTATGAGCTTGGCTCATGACCGAGAAGTTGTGTGTCAGAGCCCATGTGGTTAGTGCTTATTGATGATGAATCGAAAACCAAGACGAAACAGCTGTCCAGTACTTTCCACCGGTTTTCACTGCTTCTCTAGTTGAAATCAGTACATGAAAAAACTTAAAACAAACCAAATGTTTACAAGCAAAATCTTCAGAAACAACTTTATTGCAGTGGGTTGGAAGAGTGTGGGAATATTAAAAATCGCTTCTCAAGACCTTCGAAATTTTGACGCTTCCTGAGACCTACATAATGTCTTATTTCGAATATGGAATTTAGGCAGTGATCCCCTGTCTCAAATATGAAAGAGACATATTTGTAAAGGGACTATGAAACCTCCCACATTAGAGGATAGTTGATCGTCTGGATTTATTTCCACTTCCATATCAACAATAAAAATTGGAGGCTGGTGGAATTTTTTACATCAGATTTCGGCGCTGGTGAATCATGTCTATCTTTTTTCTTTTAGAATTGACCACTTGAGAAGCCATTAACTTTAAGATACAAAATAGAGAGTTGAACAACCTTCGTCTAGAAGTTCACTTCTTTCATGGTTTTGTGAACCTTTATAAATCTTCAAACCTTCTGTTTTTTTCACGCAAAAGAACATTGAAATAAGATGGTTAATATAAACTCAGAGTATACTATTCCTGATAGTTATGTAAAAACTGGTCTCCAAAGAAATTCATAAGATTCAAATGAAGTGTCGTCAAGATTTGACAGAATAATTCTAAAATATTTGGGCGCCAAGTGAGAAGTAGACGTTTGTAAAAAATTATATTTGTAAAATCTCAGCGAAATTGAAATGATTAATTCCAACGTTTCCTGTGTTTCGGCAATCTGGTCCGAACTTCTTTAGGAAAATTAATCGAAATTAACATAACATACGTTTATACATAAAAGGAACATCTTTTGTTTTTAAAAACTTTGTCCAGTGATGATTCATAAAACAAGTATTATTAAGTATAATAAACAAAACTGTATGACCTGTGATCAAAATTTGACCTCGGACTTACAAATATTGGTCTCTCTGTGTTTAACACTTTAAACAGAGTGTGCATACGTGTGTGGGTAAACAGTTGTAAAACATTTCCTAACGTCTCCATAAGAAGACATAGACAGTCGGGATCTTTGACCAAGTATTATTACTTAGTGATACATATCCATTTTTATTTATTAATCCGGATTTCCTATGCATCAGCTAACATCACACCTTCATGTCTGTTCAAACTGTTAGTATCTAGAATTTTATGAAATTTTATAAACCTTCGTTATGTCAATTTCGATTAATTTCCCTGAATATTCAGACCAGTTTGTCGAACACAGGAAACGTTGGAATGACTCATTTCAATCTCGCTGAGACTTTACAAATATAATTTTTTACAAATTCATTAGATGTTTTGGGAACACTGCAATGGTATAACGCTGAGGAGAAGCCCATTTATTCATCCAGTTTATACCTCAAAAGAAATGACGTATAAGTGACAGACATCTTATCCGGCGACTAAATTTGTTCCTGTCCACATCACAATCGAAGGAGGATAGGTTCCCACCTGAAGCCAACTCTAATTCTGCTTGCGAATTCACATACATTTCGGAGAAAGTACACAGAAAGGACAGAAAGATGGTCATTCATTCACTCCTGTTAACATAATTCAAAAGAGCTGAGATTAAGGGACACACATTCACTATTCCCATTATTACTGACCCATTGATCTTAACTGGCACAAGTGATTTCGATTCTCTTCCAATTGATTACTCATGTAGCATTACGTGTTATTTTTTCGCCTGTATGCTGTCAGTCTATTAGTGTTTCTCTTGTTAACTAATAAATCTAATCGCATGGTCATCATAACTTCTGTTTGCGTATCATTTGTAACTGATAGGCGTGTCAACA